AAAAAAAAAAAAAAAAAACAAGCTGGGTTGTGGTGGTGTATGTCTTTAATCCCAGAACTTGGGAGGCAGAGGAGACAAGTGGATCCCTTTGAGATAAGAGGCCAGTCTGGTCTACAGAGCAAGTTTCAGGACAGCTAGAACTACACAGAGAAACTCTGCTTCAGAAACAAAATAAGGCTGGAGAGATGGCTCAGAGGTTAAGAACAATGGCTGCTCTTCTAGAGGTCCTGAGTTCAATTCCCAGTAACCACATGGTGGCTCACAATCACCTGTAATGAGATCTGGTGCCCTCTTCTGGTCTGCACCATACATGCAGACAGAATACTGAATACATAATTAATAAATACATTAAAAAGAAACAAAATAAAACAAAAAACCCAATATCTGTTCAGTGGTGCTTATTCCTGTCAACTTGGCTGGATGTAGAATAGTCAAGAAGCCAGGCACAGGACTGCACTTCTTTTACCCCTGAGCTTGCAGGAGAGATGGGGGGAGATAGAGACAGGAAGATCTCCTTTAGTTTGAGAATAGCCTTGTCTATGTAATTAGTTCCAGGACAGATGGGGCTGTATGGAGAGACCCTGAATCAAAAAAGCAAAATAACAACAAAAACAAACAAAACCAAAACCCATCACCTAATGAGAATACTTTTGAGAGATTTAAATAAGGAATGAGGTCTCCCAGGTGTTTGGCATCACCTCAGCTCCAGACTGATGAAAAAGGAGGGTAAATAGAGAAATTCTGAGAGCGCCAACATTTCCTGCTCTCTGCTCTTAAGTCTGCCCAGATGTTAGAAATCCCACAGCCCTCTGCCACCTCCAGGAACTCTGCTGTGCCTTCCTGTCATGCCAGACTATCTCCTGTCAAAACAAATTCTTGCTGGGAGGTGGTGGCACAGGCCTTTAATCCCAGCACTTGGGAAGCAGGTGAATCTTTGTGAGTTCGAGGCCAGTCTGGTCTACAAGAGCTAGTTCCAGGACAGGTTCCAAAGCTACAGAGAATCCCTGTCTCGAAACAAACAAACAAAAAACCAAAACCAAATTCTTCCAGCTTTCCTGGCAGGTGTCAGACCAGCAATGAACAAAGTAGCCACCGTGGCGCAGACTGCATAAAGGATGACAATGTGCTAAGACTGCACAAGGAGTAGTGGTACAGGCCTTTAATACCCAGTAGTCAGGAGGCAAAGGCAGGCAGATCTCTGACCTTGAGGCCAGCCTGCTCTACAGAATAAGTTCTAGGAAATCCAGGGACCACACAGAGACACGTAGAAAAAAACAAAACTAAAACAAAAAAGAATCCAGGGAGTGAGTGATCTACTGGCTTATCGTCCCCACACTATTAATAGTGGGTGGGGAGAATTCCTCTGGGCGACATTCCCTGGTCTGTAATAAGAGCCAACTTCAGTGGATTGTTGTACCTCTAGGGGCATTGCTGTTACAAAACAAACCCAGCCCTGTTGCACGCTCCCAAGGACTATGTAATGCCTCTTCATAGAGTTATGGAGGAAGAAGACAAGATTCAAAAACCCTAGTTAAAAACAAATTAACTTCATTTCTGTTCTGTGTTGAGATAAGGTCTTGCCTAAGTAACCTAAGTTACCTTAAACTCATGATTCTGTTGCCCCTGCTTCTCTGGTGCTGGAAGGGATTATCATGTGTGTTGTGCCTGACTCAAACACCAATTTTTAAAAATAGTATTTTTTATTTACTTTGAGAATCTCGTTCAAGAATAAAATACATTTAATCATAACCATTTTCCTTCCTGCTCTAGCTCCTCGCAACATGGCCCTCCAACATGGCTCTCTTTTAACTTCCTATTTTTCTTTTTTAAAAAATATCCCAAGAGTCCAATTAGTACCACCTGCATACCTGGGTGTAGGACCTTCCACTGGAGCAAGGACAACCTACCATGAGACAAACTCTATATAAAAAATGCATTTCTTAGCAGCAGCTTAACAATGGCTTTCCTAGGAAATATTGAATTATTCTGGCAATCTTGTGTATTTTGTCTGATTCTGGGAATCGATCTCAGAGTCTTCTATATGCTAACTGACCACTGTACCATTGAGTGAATCCCTAGCCCTAGAGTACTTTTTGAATATAAGATACTAAGAATATAAGACCTGATAATGGCAGAAATAAGCTCTGTACAGAAAAAAAGGTCTCTTTGAGCTTAAATTCATTCAGATAATGATATTAAATTAATGTTATTTAATGTTATTAAATTAATGTTAATAATGAAAAGAAAGCAGGGTGAGGGTGTGGCTCAATGGCAGAGGCCTTACTCTGCATATGTAAGGCCCTGAGTTTGATTTCCAGTAATGAAAGGAGAAAAAAATTCAGGCATGGTTGGTACATTATCCCCATCCCCCCAACACAAACACACACACACACACACACACACACACACACACACACACACACACACACACGGTTTCTCTGTGTAGCCCCAACTGTCCTGGAACCTGATCTGTAGACCACGCTGGCCTCAAAGTCAGAGATTCTCCAGTCTCTGTCTCCAGAATGCTAGGATTAAAGGTGAGTATCACCACTGCCCAGCTTGGATGGGGCATACTTGTAAACCCAGCGATTAGGAGGAAAGTTTGAGACCAGTCTGTACTACATCAAAAACCGTGTCTTAGAAGGTTCAGTGGGTAAAAGTGCTTGCCTTACAAGTCTGACAAGAGTTTGATCCATAGAACTCACATTGTGGAAGCTGAAACCCACTCCAGAAAGTTGTCAGCTAACTTTCCCATGTATGCCATGGCATGAGTACACTATACTCACATATAAATAAAAAAGATGTACACACATCCATACACACACAATAATAATAAATAAAACAAGCAAGGTATGGTGACACACACCGGCTATCCTAAGACCAAGTAGGTAGGAACAGGATTGCCAAAAATTTGAAGCCAGCATGGTCTGAGTTCCACCCAGACCAACCTAGGCTATACAGTAAGGCCCTTACTAAGGAGTGTGACAGACGGGGGATCTACCACAAGCAAGCACTGAATCAAATTCCCACATCCCAAAGCTATTACCCTCTAGATGTGGTGGCACCTACCACCATATTAGTGTTCTGCAGACAGAGGGAGGGGACTGCTGACAAATTCAAGGCCAGCATGGGCACTTATTAAATTCTAAGCCAGGGTGCCATAGTGAGAACCTGTCTCAAAACACAAGCGATGAATGGTTGGGGCTTTTAAAATCTGCAATTGATGTGGGAGGGCTCAAGCTCTATGAGATGTACCATCCCTAAGCATGTGGGCATGGGGGTAAGCAAGGGAGGTAGTCAAGCAAGTCAATCAGTAAAAGCTACTGTCCTCTCTGCTTCAGTTCCTGTCTTGACCTCCTGCCCTGGCTCCTGATGGAGTGTGACCTGTAGGATGCAGTAAACCCTTTCCTTCCCAAGTTGTTTTGGTCAGTGTTTTATCAGAGCAACAGTAGGCAAGAGGACAGAGAATACTGAGCTAAGAACAGAGTTTGAAGCTACCAAGATCTGAGTCTTGACACAATCTCTGTGTACTTTTCTTTCCTTGAAGAAGGAAGAGGAGCAGCCTACCCGCTAGGCTTCCAGGGTAAAGGAAGGCTGTTAGCAGCAAAAGAAAAGAAAGTCTCCTTAAAAACAGGTGATGGATCTGGGCACACAGCTCAGCTGAAGGCCATCTGCCCAAATTCTATCCCCAGCACAACCTATGGAGTGTGGTGGCATACTCATGGTCTCTGTAGTAGGGAGTTAGGGAGGATCGGATGTTCAAGGGGATGCTGAGGGAAAATGTTCTTGTACACTGCAAAGATTTCTCACTCATATTGGTTTAATAAAATGCTGACTGGCCAGTAGTCAGGCAGGAAATATAAGTGGGGCAACCAGACTAAGAGGAAAGGCAGAAAGTTAGTCACCAGGCAGATGCAGAAGAAGCAAGATGAGAATGCCTCACTGATAAAAGGTAACAAGTCACATGGCTAAACATAATAAGAATTATGGGTTAATTTAAGTTGTAAGAGATAGTTAATAGTAAGTCTGAAATAATAGGCTAAATAGTTTATTATTAATATAAGCTTCTTGTGTGTTTCTTTGGAAATGAACAACTGCAAGACCAGGTGGGACAGAAACTTCTGTCTACAAGATAAGGCTGGGCGATGGTGCACACCTTTAATCCCAGCACTTGGGAGGCAGAGGCAGGAGAAGTTTGACACCAGCCTGGTCTACAAAGCAAGTTCCAGGTCAGGCTCCAAAGTTACACAGAGAAACCCTGTCTCAAAAGAAAAAAAAAAGACACAA